AGACACATGGAGTTGCCCTTGGTTCAAGTTTTGGACGATTATGACTTAGAGTACTAGCATATGCTAAGCAACCGAAGACTCTAAGATAAGCCAGATCAGGTGGAGTGCCCTGAAGAAGTTCTAGGGGAGATTTATTCTGAGTTAGAGGGGAAGGGATGCGATTGATGAGATGAGTAGCATGAAGAACAGCATGACCCCAAAATAGAATGGGAAGAGAAGCTTGGAATAGAAGAGCTCTAGCAACAGTGACTATATGCTGTAATTTTCTTTCTACCCGACCATTCTGTTGGGAGGTTTGGACACAAGAAGTTTGATGTAAAATACCCTTGGAATTATAGAAACTTGGAATATTAAATTCCTGAGCATTATCTGTTCTTATCACTTTAACTGTCATAGCAAACTGAGTAGATACATAAGAACAGAAATTTATAAGAATATCCCTAGCTTCAGACTTGTGTTTAAGAAGATAAACCCAAGAAACTCTAGTGTGATGATCCACAATAGCAAAGAAATATCGATGACCATCAATAGTTGGTTCCTTATAAGGCCCCCAAACATCACAGTGAATCAAATCAAATGGAGATGCACTAACAGAATCACTAGATGCAAAAGGGAGTCGTTTCTGTTTTGCCAATGGACAAACAGAACAATGTATATTGTCATTGACAGTAATAGGAACAGAATTAGCATGTAATCCCTTTATTCTAGGAGTGGAAGCATGTCCTAAACGATAATGCCACAAATCAAACATAGAATGTGATGTATCATATGCTGCATATAGCAACTGAGGGATAGCAAGACCAGGCAGAGAGTTGCCAGGTTGAAGGTAGTAAAGGCCAGAGACCTGTTCAGCTATACCAATCGTCTGCATAGCTGACAGCTCCTGGATAAAACAAGCATTATGAATGAATGTCATGGAACAATTATGGTGCTTAGTTAATTTGCTTACAGACAGCAAATTAAACGAGAATGAGGGAATTAATAAGACATTAGAAATGATGAGATGATCATTTAAATGCACTGTACCAATATGAGTCACTTTGGCCTTAGAACCATTAGGTAAGGTAACAAAGGAATTATGCACAACACGAAACGATTGAAGCATAGACAAACAGCAAGCCACATGGTCAGTAGCCCCAGTGTCTACTACCCATGTTTGTTCAAGAGACCTAGAATTAGCTACAGAAAGAAAACCTTACCTGCAACCTCGTCATAGGCAGCACGAGAGGCAGAAGAAGTGCTCTGTGCTGTAGCTGCATCCTCATAGAGAGCTGAGGTGGAATGACCAGCAGGCAGGGTGTTGGAAACCGCCATCAAGTTGATGGAACCCATATTAGTTGGCTGCAGAGGCTGAATGAGAGACAAGAACGCCTGATATTGCGCCCGAGAGAGAGTAAAACTGTCACCAGCATCCTCAGGAACATCCTCTGCAGTCTCCCCAGCACATACAGCGTTGATTGCCTTGCCACGAGACTTGTATCCAGGTGGATACCCGTTCTTCTTGAAGCACTTGTCGATCGAGTGACCAGCCAGACCACAGAAGGTACAGACAGGACTCTTCGATCCATCCTTAGGACCTCGTCGAGCCTGACCAGACGAAGAAGCACCGTGAGTAAATCCGCCTTGAACAGAAGACGAAGGTGCATAGTTGCCTGCGAACGCCATGGGAGGCTGAACCGTTGGAACCAGAGAAGCTCCATGTCGAGACTCGCGTTCTTGCTGAACGATCTGAGCAAAGACGCGATTGATCGGCGGCAGAGGATCTAGCTGGAGGATCTACGATCGGATCGGACCAAAGGAGTCGCGAAGACCGCGAAGAAAGCGAATGATCTGATCCGCCTCAACGTATCCACGAAGCCTCGTGAATGCACCGCATCGACAGCGAGGAGTGCATGTGCATCCAGGCAACGGACGAAGAGCAAAGAACTTTGAAACGAGTGTAGTACTCCGTGACAGTGAGATTACCCTGCTTGAAGCCATAGATTTCCTCATGCCGATCTGAGATCCGAACCAGATTCGCCTGACCGAAACGCTCCTGGAGATCGAGCCAAACTTCTTGCGCGGAATCAAGCCAAAGAATCGACTGAGCAATCGTCGGCTCCAGAGACCGATAGATCCAGCCCAAGACCATCAGATTTGCACGCTCCCAAGCCGGAAGCAGCGGATCGGTATCTCCAGGATGCGGAGCTTCACCATTGACGAACGCGACCTTGTTCTTTGCGAGGAGCGCCATTCTCATCGACCTCGCCCAGGACTGATAATTGCCGCCATGGAGAAGAGTCGACACAAGCACCAGCGCCGGATTCTCGTTCTGATTGAGGTAGTAAGGATGATTGGGATCGAGAGTGGTGGGAAGTGGAATCGCCATTGCAAAGCAGAGAAAAGAAGACGAAAAGAAATCAAGAAACTCTAGTTTTGCTCTGATACCATGCCAGATTTAGTGAGAAAATGATTATTGCATAAAACGGTGAGTTGTTCTGTTACACTGTACATCCTTTATAATGTTCTCCAAATTACCACCTAGTACCTACACAAACTACTAATTACAATAACTACCCTGAAAACAACAAAAATTACATTTTGTATTATTCTATACTCTATCATGGCCTGGTCATCTTTACTCAGATGTAACAAGGGACCACTTTAGAACCAAATCATGGGAAGGAAGCCAACCAGAACCAAAGACACAACAGCCGATCTCGCATTTATCTCATTGTCAAATGACACAGGTACTAGAACCAACAACCACCTTTTCATATGCTTTCAACCTACCCGGCCGTCTGGTCCCCCTCGAGCAATAACAACCATAAAAAAAAGGTTTAATACACTTGTATATCCAAAACTTTCACGGTTGTGCCAATAATATCCAAATTTCCCGGAATACCACTTATATCCATGTTTTAAAGTTGTTCTTTGCCAAATCTATCCATTTCCCAATATATTTTTGGTTAAATACACTTGTATATCCAAAAACACCGTTAAAGAATGTGAAGGAATTGGATATAAGTGGTATTTCGGGAAATTTGGATATTATTGGCACAACTGTGAAAGTTTCGGATATACAAGTGTATTTAACAAAAAAAAAAGGCTGCTCCACCCACTAAAGAATGTTTACACATTCTAGTCAAAGCAAAATGCAGCAACATGCAATACAATTACTCCCTAATCCTGTTGTGTTTGGAAAGAGTTGCAAATAGGATGGGTGCAAAAAGCAACGGGTAAATACAGTTTTCAAAATATTTACACTTGTGTTGGTTAATTTGTAATAGTAGGGGTGCAAATATACTATTTTGGCTTACCCCAAATTTTTTTTTTACGGGACTTACCCCCAAATTGGGATGCAAAGGAAGCAAGTGGGAGAGGGGAAATATGGATTTATTATTTTATAATAATTAATATTATAAATTTTTACTTATAGTTATAATTAATGTAGACGATGTTCGGGGTTGATTGTTTGTCTCTGCAATCAAACTAGTTACAAATTGGGCTTCGAGTTTCGAGGTCTGTGGACCAATAATTATTACTAGTTTTCATTGCCCGCGCTCCGCGCTGGGATGTGAGATTATAGCATATTTAATTGTGCTTCAAAAAATAGATAGGAGCGTATATTGTTCTGCAAGATGTTTATTGAAATTCACATCAAATAACAGCGTATATCATAAGATAAAATATGGGCCATCTTTGCAACACAATCACAACTTTCAAATCCTTATACTAAGGTTACTTTACATGATTAATAGAATAAGCACAACTTAACTTGATAAGTAAAGAATATAAAGTGCGGAAAATGCATTTATTCGTGAAATTACCAAAAAATAAAAAATACAACTCTTGGTGTAACGTTGAACTACTGAACTTGTCACATGGCCGACTTTACCTCCAAGCTGCGCTGAACTTCCATTCCATCTTGCAAAAACCAAATGAGCTATTATAATAAGAGAGAAGGAAAGCAAACAATATATAGATGGTCCATAAGCACCGTAGCTACATTATGAGAAATAGCAGAACCATAGTTGCAGTTTGATTCAATCCTCACCACATACGATTCTCAGTTATCATCTGTTGTTAAACTGACTACAGTAATCGAAACTCTCAAATGATAAGGAATCCCAAGACGATTGAATCGTCATAAAAAATCAAAGGCGAAACATCCTCCACAGAACAAAGACTGCAACAGTTTCTTGTATCATTGCTTTAAGTACACGAAATACAGTAGTTAATCCAATTTATTACCACATCTAAACTTGGTAGCTGTGAACCATGAGTAGATCATAAAAGGAACAGAGTCTGAAATATGTGTCAAGACACCCGGATCCAAAAGACAACTCGCACCTGCAAGGAAGAGAGAAAGAAGAGACTGATCAAATAATAGTGATGACTACAGTCAGGAAACAATTGAGAGTACATAATGAATTGATTCTTGGTTATTATGAAGGGATGGCGCATTCATCAAAGAATCGTCTCCACTAATCCCATCAGTGGCCAACCAGAAACAATACTTGCAACCCTCAGCTCTTTCTACTATCAACACCTGTAGATCATTGAGTCAACAAAACAAATTCAGTTTGGGAGTGATAGATAACACCTATTATTTCAAATTAGGGGAAGGATTAATACCCAGGTTTCTAGAATCAAACTCAACCCCATCCTTTAGTTAGTGTAGGGTCCGGATACTATAACACCACCCATAGTATTGTTATAGTAACAAACAGGGGTAAAAATGGAAACTCCTATAAAGTAATAAATAAAAAATTCAATTATTAATTGCCCCACCGGCCCACCCCTAGGGATGGCAATGGGTCGGATACGGGGCGGATACCCCCTATCCGTTGCCCGCATTTTAGGCCCGCGGGTAATGCCCGTGCCCGACCCGTTTGATTATACGGGCAGAGAATCCCTACCAAGCCCAAAACCATTTGGGCTTCGGTGAACCCACGGGTTATGGACTACCCGCCAACGAGCCCAACACCTAAGCCCAAAACTCATCCAATTCCATGAACTCATAAACAAAGAAAAAACCTTTAAAAAAATAACAGCCAGCTGCCAGCAGTATCAATGACAATGAACTGCAAACCCAAAACCTATCTGAAATCCAGCAAGTCTCCATCTAAGAACTGAAAGTCTAAAACCGACAACTAAACATAGTCTGCAATTCAACCAATTCTCAACTAAGAATAGTCTAACAAACCCCAAAACATGGGCACTAATGAATCCATGATAATGCAAACTCAATAACAAAACCATAAATCACTAATTATTAGCAGCAACAAGCATTCTTCACTTCTTCAAAAATAACTAGCAACACAGCAGTCTAACAACCCAGCATCATTCCAGCATCAATCCAGCAACTCAACATCAGTCCAGCAACCCATCAGACAAGAGTAATTCACATCTAATGCCTACTAGACAATATCTGCAAAATATAACAGATTCATTTACATTAAACATTTGATTCTGATGCATTATTAATAAATGAAAACTTAAACCTTAAAACACAAACCTAGAGCTATTCCAGCAGGGTGATGACAGCAGCTACATCATCCTCATCACCTTTCTCATTCGAACAGCTTCCAGCTCCATCTGTTACAAAATAAAATGGTTAGAACAGAGCTGAAACATAAGTTAAACACTACTTATAGCAAAATGGTTACCTGTGCACTCTTCCACCGAGGCATCATCCATTGCCTTAGCTGAGAAAACCCCCCTCCAAAGCTTTCAATTCCGAGGCAGACACTACATGGCAGGGAAAGCAATAATTAATCGATAAGAATACTAACCAAACAATGGAAAACACATCAAAAAAAGTAAGAATTCGATTAAAACAATCACCTTTGCTATCATCTTGAATCCATGTCCTCAATATCATCATGGCCTCTACTGTTAAGGGATCAAGCCTGCTCCGATGGGGGTCCAAAAGCCTCCCACCAGAACTAAAGGCAGATTCAGAGGCAACACTTGTAACAGGCACAACAAGTAAATCCCTTGCAATGTCTTGCAAAATGGGATACTTGGCACCATTGAATTTCCACCAACCAAGCAAATCAAATTCTGGTGTTCTAGGATGATTATCCTCAGCTAGATAGTGATCTAACTCAGTTGTAACAACAGATGTTCTGGTTTTTTTCCTTTGGCTCACATATAGATCAAAATCCAAATCTGTGGCCGAAGAAGGATGAGATGTAGAAGGAACAGTTGTGTTCTTAGAGGATTTCCTCTGATATTCGACAACCAAATCAGCAACAAGATCTTTCACTCTATCAATCACAAGGTCAGAACCAGAACCAGTAATACCAAATTTGTTTGCATAGTACCCAATCAAATCCAATTTGTACCGTGGATCCATCACAACAGCAACAGCCAGTAGCAAATGAATATCATCCCAGTATTTGACAAACTTTGCCCACATTTTCTCAGCCATAGAAACAATCATAGGGCTAGGATCAACTAACCATTCCATCAAACGCAACCTCAAGTCACACACCTTAGCAAAAAACTGATTTGCTGTAGGATAGTTTGAACCAGAAAATACAGCAGTTATATCCTTGAAAACCTCAAGTTTCCCACACAAAATTTCAGCAAACTCCCAATGCTCATTGCTTGGCAGAGAGTTGTATTGAGGTTCCCTTATTTTTAGAATAGAGAACACATCCTTATATGGGATTGCAGCAGAAAGCATGTCAAAAGTAGAATTCCACCGAGTGGGACAATCCAACACCAGTTTCTTAGAAACAGCCAACTTAAGCTGCTGGGCAGTTGCATGGAAAATTTCAACTCTCCTAGGTGTGCAAGTACAAAATACCACACTATCCCTGATGTTCTCAATTCCATCTTTGAGAACATCTAGGCCATCCCTCACAATTAGATTAAGGATGTGAGCAGAGCACCTCATATGAAGAAGTGTTCCATCCCTAATCAAATTAGAAAGAACCAGCATTTGTTTAACTAGATTGATCATGGAATCATTGGTAGTACAATTGTCAAGAGTAATTGTTGACAATGTCCTATCAATGTTCCATGATTGGAGGCATTTAGCAAGCTTAGTAGCCAACCTCTCACTAGTGTGTGGGGCAGGGACATAACCAAACATAATCAGATGGTTCCTTAACTTCCATGAATTGTCTATGTAATGGGCAGTAACAGCCATGTAAGACATTTTTTGATTTGTGGCAGTCCACAAATCAGTTGTGACAGCAATCCTCCCTTTGTTTTGGTCCATTACCCCTTGGATTTTAGACTTCTCTAAACCATAAATAGTCACAATGTCTTTTTTTATGGTATTTCGGGTTGGAACTTTGAATAGAGGGTTCAAGGTGCAGCAAAACCTTTTGAAGTAAAGGTGATCCACAATAGAAAGAGGATACTCGTGCACCAAGATCATGGTGCAGAGTTCCTTTCTAGACACCTCACTACTAAACTGATTGGTACTCATATCAGCAGTACCATTGACATTGTAATTAGCACCAAGTACCCTTTGACTCCCATCATGTATCTTTTTATGAACACACTTGTTCCTATGAGTTCTGAGATGAGAAGTTCCGTTACTAGATTTCCCAGCCAACACCTTCTTACAGTAGTTGCATTTAGCTTTTAATATCCCATTGACCTCAGCCTAGTGAAGTGAGGCCAGACATCAGATTTTAAAGACCTAGTAGCACCTAAGGGATGTTGAGGAAGAACATCTTCCACAACATTATCAGGATTACCATTAGGAATGGGACGGGCAGCAGCATCAGCAGGTGCATTACCAACATGTTCGGGTTCCATCTGTTTGACATAAGAAATTAAAAATGTTTTAGAAAGATGTCCAGGTGTGTTCTTATTACTTAGTTTAGAGAATAAGAAGGTTAGAAGCATAAGGAGTTTAGTCATTACAGATTAGGTGTGTTCTTATTACTTAGTTTGGTCATTACAGATTAGGATTTAGAACTACTACATAAGGAGTTTCTAACTTAACAGATTAGTAGTTTAACATTGAGCAGAATGCAGTTTTCTAACTTAAGAAGATAAGATTAAGAGAATTTGTGTTTAACATTACTGGATTAGTGGATTAGCAGTTTTAAACTTAACACTCTAGATGTGTTAAGTTTAGCTTAGACCAAATTAACAAAGTGCCTAAGTGAGCATTAGCAGATTACATGTAGGTACAACAACTACAATTGATTATCTGACCAGTTAATCGACATGTGACTAATCTAGCATATTGGGTTGTTCTGTGAACAATCAACACCAAACAAGGGTCATCGACTTACCTCAGCAGAGAGCAGAATGCAGTTGAAGCACCAGCTGATTGCCAAAACTCCCAAACAGCAAGCTACAGAAACAAAAGAGCAGGAAATGAAGGCATTAGCATTTCTGATTATGACAAAGACAAACCAAGCAACAAGTCACGAAATGAAATAAAGTATACTAAACTTACTGTGAATTCGGGAAGGCTAATGCTACAGCACCTGCTGCTGCCTACTTGATGTGACTCACGAGCAACAAGCTGTCGAAAGCCAAAAGCAAGAAAGATTAAAGACATTTTCTGTTTCTGGCAAACTAAGCAAGCACCATGAAAAAAAAAATGAACGATGGGGCGGCCATTAAACTTACTGGAAGGCTTGCATTTCTGGATTTAGGGTGCGAATTCTGGAAGGCACCAACTGTTGCCTCTGTTGATGAGACTCGCGAGCAACAAGCTGCAAAAAGCCAAAACAAAGGAGCAAGAAAGATTAACACTAAAAGCAAACTAACCAAGCACCATCACCATGCAAAAAATGAACTAAGTACTGGGAAATAAACTTACTTAGAAGATTGAATGAATGACGGAAAGGGGGATTTCGAGTTCTGGAACTGGAAGGCTTGCGTTTCTGGATTTAGGGTTCGACTTTGATAAACTGCAGATGAACAAAACCATGCAATTAGTCACCTATTTATATACGTATAAGCACAACTGGATTAAGGAAAGAAAGAATCGAATACTTATCTCGAATTCTTGATCTAGGAAAGAAATCATTTGCATGCACGATTCTAGTGGTGTGTTTCGTCGATCGAGACATTTTCGATGACTGGGGGCTTAATTCAGGGAAAGATCTAGGGTTATTGATGCTGGTATCGTCGATTTTTGTGGGAAATCAGTAGAGGAAGGAGCAGATTTCGTCGGAATCGAAGGGATTTACAGAGAAATCGTCGATGGGATGAGTTAGGGTTGAGAGGAAATCGGGAGAGGGAAACGGCGGCTGCGTGGTGAAAATGGGTTCTGAAGACCCTAACCCTAAAATGTTGGTTTATATATGATGGGCAAGCGGCATCGTTTTACTTACGGGCCGGGTACGGTGCGGGGATGACGAAATCCACACCCAGCCCGTCACCGTCTCCTGCGGGCCGCGGGTAGGCCCGAAACCGCCACACAACCCGGCCTCGCGGGTTTCGACCCAGTACACGCGGGCGGGCCCCGGCGGATGCCCAAGGCCCGCGGGCCCATTGCCATCCCTACCCACCCCATACCCTTCTCTCTCCCCACTCGATTCTTCTTCTCCCCAGTCTTATGAGAATGGAGACCGGCTACTCTTCACCTCTCTGTATCTCCACATCTCAACTCCGGCCGGCGTTCTCAGGTCTCGATGAGATCTACAACATGATAAAAATCGCCGCCCCGATCTCCTCCTCCCCAACCAGATCCTGATCTATTCCCCGTCGACAACTTCTCCTCCACGCCGGGATTGCTTCTCTCCACTCCGCCAGATTCCCAACGACCACAATCTCTCCAATAGCACCAATAATCGTCGACGATTGAGCCAACGACGAGAATAGAGATTGAATTGGCGAAAATGGCTGGAACAGATGACGAGAACAGAGACTGTGGAATCCACAATAAGAGTATAGGATACAAAGAAGGTGAAGTCGGCGCTAGTTGTGTGGTCTTTCTCCTGCAATGACAATGATCGGCGAGGCGTCGACAATGTTGCGGTGATGATGACGGAAAGGGCGAGTGCCACTAATTTCCTGTTTCTGTTTAAATTTGCATGCTTTGGTTCCGGGCTTCTTGACCTTCAATTTGTTAAAATCCATTTGATGTTTAGTTGCTAATTTTCCTTCAAGAAGATGCAAGATATGTAAGTTTTCTTTCCTTATGCTGCAGATGCAGTTACTGAAACATATTAAAATGTATTTGCAGAAATGAAATCTGTACACAGTTCATCCTCAATCAACACGAAGACTTTTGATGTCCTAGCATCAATGACTCTCAAGCCCCCACCTATAGATCGCACAAAATCATTTGATGAGGATGAATCTCCCCATGAGAATGAGATGGACTATTTTCACGATCTGTCAAGTGTTTTTGGGGGATTAATGGTGTTCAGTAATGTGGGGTGGGGGAATTAAGAAACATATTGTTACGAGATCACCCAGCATTGACAGAGTAAGTAAGCAATTAAAAAAAATGGTTGTTTGTAGACGCCGAAAATCTCCTAGTGCAAACCACAAATGCAATAAAAACAATCCACAAAAATATACCGGAAACCTCGTAATGCAAACCACAAATTCGCTAAAACATATCAGAAAACTCACAAAGCAAACCATAAATGTTTTGAAAAGAACACCAGATACCCCCTAATGCAAACCACAAACACGGTAAAGCAAACAAAAAACGTCCTAATGCAAACCATAAATATATTAAAACAAACCAGAAACCTTGCAAAACAAACCACAAAAGTTTCGAAAGCACACCAGAAACTTCTTAATGCAAACTATAAACCTTCTAATTTAGACCACAAATCCCCTAAAACAAACCAGAAACCCCACAATGCAAACCACAACATTTGCGAAAGCACACCAGAAACCTCATAATGCAAACCACAAACACAGTAAATCAAACCACAAAAAAGCAAACCATAAACGTCCTAATGCAAACCACAAATATATTAAAACATACCAGAAACCTCACAATGCAAACCACAAAGTTTTTGAAAGCAAACCAGAAACTTCTCAATGCAAACCACAAACACAATAAAGCAAACCAGAAACTTCTGAATACAAACCACAAACACGATAAAGCAAACCACAAAAGGCATACAAAAATATGAGAAACCAAACCATAAATCTCACAATGCAGACCATAACAACCGGTGGTCGTTGACCGGTCAACGAAGTTCGTTGACCGAACTCCGGTGACCGTCAGTGAGCAGATTCCGACGCCGATAGGAATATTCCGGCCCCGATGACTAGATTCTGTCGCCGGGAAGCATATTCCGGCGCCGGTGGCATATTTCGATGACAAAATAGCATATTCCGGCGACGAAAAGCATATTCCGGTGATCGGCGACCAGATTCCGGCGACTAGTGGCCGAATTTCGACGACCAAAATTTTGGGCCGAAAATAAAAAAAAATATTTTTATAATTTTTTATTTTTTTATTTATTATTATTTAAACATATTTTTCATAATGACAATTATACCCATGCTTTGATTTTACACTAGGTCAACTCATCTAATAAAAAGTCATCACAACCCTAGCTTCCTATTGGTTGGAGACTAGTGTTGTTATAGTATCTAGTCCCCGATATCCCAGGAGAACTAGTCGCCACCCCTCTGTCCTGGATTCCTGAAGCCACCATAAAGGCCGGTAACACCATTACCACCATCATATTTCTGATTGACCTAAGCAATCACAACATAAAAAATGAGATTTCGGAATCGGCTCTCAAAGAAAAGAGTTAAGCCCAGGCAAGAGATGTAGTAATTGCCAAAATCATCGATTCAGTCCCAATTCCCAAATCGTCGATTACTTAACCTCCTCGATTGATCCAAAGTGCTAACCGTGTTTTAACTCCAGAATACAACATCGCCCTCTAAAGCATTGAACAAAAGACAAAGACATAAGAAAAGAGAAAACTGGTATAGATAACAGGGGGTCGAGAGAGGGGCAGAAGATGGATGGATGGAACCATCGAGGAGAGAGAATACCTTCATAGATGTCTCTGGTCACTGTCTCTGGCGGAGACGACGAAAATCCTGCGAATCTGCAAGAGGAAGGGGGAAGAGAAGGGAATCACTATCCACGAAGAGTACAAAACAAAGGAACAAAAAATGAGATCGGGGGCTTTCCCACCTCTCTCTACCTTATTCGTGTGGCCACCAGCATCGTCGTAGACACAGCAATCACTTTGGGTAAACCTTCTGGAATCACTAAAACGGGCAATCCCTAGTTAGAAGGATCTCTTTGTTTGCTGATCTGAATTTAGGGGGTGAGAAAGAGGGTTATCAACTAGGGGTGGAAAACGGGACGAGACTGGGTACCCGTCCCGTTTGAAACGGGTACCCATTCCCATTTGATGAGAAAACTTCATCCCATTCTGAAACTCGTACGGATTAACGGGTACCCATTACCCGTACGGGATGGATAACGGGTACCCGCGGATAACCCGTAGAAGGAGTGGTTTGGGAAAGTTGATTGATTGTCTTAAGTTTTTAAAAGTAAGTACTGCTTCTGTTTTTTTTTTCTTTTCTTTTAGAATCACCTCTTTAAAAGTGAGTTAATGGCCCAGCTACATGGATCGTTCATCCAAATGCATTGGCTCATTCGCTGTGGCTAACCCTGCAAGCATATATTGGCCGACCTTAAATAAGACTACTAAACCAGCAATATCCCTAACCAACAGTTTGTCAACCAAGAAAAGAACAGGGAATCCACGTCTATTAATTAGCCATTTCAGTGATTGTTTAATCCCAAACAAGGACAAGAAATGACAGAGTTGTATATGAAACACATCTCCTACTCCTTGAGCACTCTTCGTACTATACATACCAACAAGCATATTAGTTCTCATCAGTCTACATACCAAACGAAGGGATGGGAGGGTAGAACGGGTAGAACGGGTACCCTTAATACCCAAACGGGTATTAACGGGTAACCCGCGGTTACCCATTGTAGAACTTCTCGATACCAAGTCCCATCCCATAGAAAAAATTACGAGTATTTGGGTACCCGTAACCCTCAAAAAATGGGACGGGTATGGGTATACCCAAATACCCGTTTCTCGTTGCCCACCCCTATTATCAACAAAGGAAAGAAGGAGAGCATATAAGAATGGATGGGAAGAGATAACTGAAAGGCAAGTGGTGATTGAAATTCGCACCATTTCAATCTTATCTCTCCTATTGAGAGAGTACAACTCTGGTGTGGTGACTGGTGAGTGGTGACGGAAACCAATGAGAAAAAAGTAGGCATAGAGAATAGAGCTGGTTAGGTAAAATGAGTGGGCAAAAATTAAAAGAGCTACGTGGCATCTAACACACCAAGTATGCCACAAAAAACCTCGAACTTTGCTTCTCTCTGACTCTAGTTCCTTCTCAAGTATCATCGAGAAAGCCAAGAGACAACGTGTTGATCAACGCAGTCTCATAGGGCCACACAAACACACCCAGACCTGCCAACCAGAGGTCACATCATGGTTCAAAGAGAACCAAAGTTTTGGAAACCAACCAGAGACCATCATACACCCGCACACACTCGAGCACCATCCGAATTGAAACAGTGTCCATGGATCTGTATGTACAGTAAAAGTTCTCTTGCTGCATAGTAATAGGCTATGTTGGGGGATTTCTTCTTTCAATTGTTGTTATAATTAAATATAATTTAAGCATTATTATAATAATTATTTTATTAAAATATACTTATTAATATATTCTAGACTGATTTTTATTTTTATTATTTTGTGATATAATTTTATAATTTTGATAAGTCTATATTATAATAATATAATTATTTATTTTTCACTTTATTTGCACTCCTACTTTTTCATCCAAATAACAATTTACCTCTCCACTAACACCGCCACCAAGTTGCATCCCCTAGCAATTTACCGCTCAACTTGTACCCCTTTAAAGTTTAAACTTGCACCCCTTGTTGCCTCTTGCCTGTAATATCCTTCATCGTACTATGAATTTGCCCAGTGAAAGTGGACAATGAATTCAGCACTCAGAAACTAGAAACTCTAGGAGTAAATCATGAAAAAGAAATCAGCAAGATCAACAGAAAATCAAGTTAAAAGGGGCAATGTAGTTTCTCTGCCATGCAAAAGATTTCTAGTATTCCCCATTTTCTTCATGAATAAGCAAGCAGCTTTTATTGCTGACACATGCTCTGCATAACATAGTTGCATTTTTGTTTTCCTTCCAGAAATTGTTCTCAAATGCGGGGGAAAACAGGCAAAACAAACTGGACAAAGGTAGGAAGATAAAGCAAGCTGATATATCCAGAAGTAATATGATTGCATCATCACATCATACTGACAGAGAATTTAGATGTGCAACATTTCAAGGTGCAATCTCGAGCCGAGGTTCGAAACAGAAACCAGTGAAGAGTTGAAGTGGGAACCTCTTTGTTACTGGACACTTATGTGACCACTTCCACAGTTTCTGGTTCATGTCAAAAACAAGCAGTGATGGCCCCCCATAACTCTGGATGTATACAAGATCGTCAGTGCCACTGCTAGCAAAGACATCATCGAACTCTCCAAACCCTTGGAAAAACTTGTGGGGCATGCGAGCGATCTCTTGCCAGTCTCTTCCATTAAGAACCCAGATCCCAATCCCCTTAATTATATCAGGCCTGTCATGCTTCCCAATGCCTCCAACAATGACCAATTTATCCTTCAACTTCATCAGTCGTCCACATGTAAGAGAACAGGGAGCTGGAATGAAACCTTTTATCAACTTATCATCACGTGAGTACCGACCAGAAAGCCTGTAAGCAAGAATACCATGGCGGTTTTCTGGATAGCCACCACCAGTTGAATAAATCAATACATATAAATTGCCATTGCAGATAACACTCTCATCACCACCTCTCCACCCGGTCAAAACTTCGGTCCAAGAAGTCATCCACATCTGGATATCAGAATTATAAGTATATATTGATAGATGCCATTGGAGAAAATCTCTGGGAACCTGGTTAGACTTGACAATCGAGACAGTATAGTTGTGTGACTCTCCATTCACCGAGACTGCAAGTGCACTATAGTCAGATAGCCTTGACCCAGGAGGGTCTTCAAGCTTCCTGAAGCGTTTAGTGATTGGGTTGCAAGCATACAACTCACTGCTACAGTCATTGTCCATGAAGAAAACCAACCCGCACGAGGAGGCTATGAACCAATTGGATGTCCTGATGCAAGGTAGATCAATACCGTGCCATTTCCTAAGAACTGGATCAAAGGCATAACCAACAGGTTCATCAGAGCTCGTGAACATAAAGTACCAAGGCTTTTGTGATGTTACATGAGACAAGTTCCACAAGAACCTCCTAGAACTCACTATCTCATGCCATCTTTTCGACACAGAACCTGCTCTGAAGATGCTTGCAGTGGGGAGATATGCCAAGATTCTTTCTAATAGATCATCAGGCAAGATTAGATCCACCGAAACTGCATTAACGTCTTTGTTTCCATCATCATCATTGAGATCCGAGAATGAATTGAGATCACTATCATCTCTAACCACAACATCAGTGCAATCATTGGTCCATGATGCTTCTCCCTTCATGTTTATTGGATATCCCTATAATAGCTGATCTGGCAAACAAACAGATAAGAAAGCACCACAGATTCACTAATCAGTTCGTGAACACAAAAGAGTAGAATGAAAAGTTTACTAGACGAATAACGACAGATCAGTAGCAGATTACCAAATAAACCTAAAAGTTTTAAGGATGCAAAAGGAAGAATCACCTTGTCAGATTATACTGAATTGAACGAACGTAAAAAATCTTCACATCTAGATGCATTTTAGAACAACCAAACAGAATCCCGCAGAAAAACCAAGCCCAAAAGTGTATTCAGTACAGCCCCAAAACTAATAACCTAGCCAGTAGAAAATGACTTGAAATTGCTCAAAGTTAAGTTCTGACTGTATTGGTACGCATATCGCCTAAATAGCATTCTGCTTATACCTAGTTCAGAAAAGAAGTCGTCAATACTTTTCCCTGGAACGCAAGTTTGTGTATCAAGTATGTGTCCCAGAATCTAAGCGTTCTGTATTCGAAAGCCTAAGACCAGCTCACTGATTAGATACCAGGGAAAGCAAACAGAACCGATTTTTTTCTGACAGAGAAAAATTTGAGATTTGCAGAGATCAAGAATAACAAAATTGACTGACCAAAGCAATCGCACTAACACATCGCAACAAGGATCTAATGAACGATTAATCAAGCATGAGAGAGGATTACGCAGATAAAATTAATCCGTCAACCGGAATAGAAAGCACATAAGAAACCTTTTCATCTGAAACCATGAGGCAATTTGAAATCAACAACATAATTCGCACCAAATTGCCACCACAGCACAAGGGGGCTCGCATTTCGGATCGAGAATTGGAGGTAGAAATGAAACAACGAAAGAGAATTGATCCAAGAACAATTTAGTGTCATCACTGCTCACACAACAATCCCATTTCGTAGCGCATCCCAAACCCTAAAAAAGGTGATTTCCGGCGGTCAAATCAGTAAATAATATGTTGGGTAAAGGGAAGAGCGAAAGATTTGGCCAAACTCGGGCATCAATCGAACATCAGGAACCCCACTCAACTGTGAACCATAACATAACATCAATAACGTAACCCAGGGATTGCCACAAAAGATCACCCATATCGCAACTCCCAATAAAAACTTTCCAAATAGGCAGAGGAAGGCGAAAAAGATATGAGGCAGAACACTTTCCCGGAGAAAGAAATAACCGTACCTGGCCCAGAACAGCCAAAAGATCAGGAAAGCAACTGGGTCTGGGTCATCGTTTCCAGATTTCAACAAACATACTCAATGGAGAAAACAAGAGAAGAAACAGAAACTCGCTCGATAGAACACAACGGCATTAACAGATGAGACAAAGTAGGATATTATCAACAGCAGAACAAGGAACGGAAGTAAAATTTCTCAGAGGGGAAGGCTAACAATTAGATGGGTGATTCCCAGATTTGGAGTTCGAATCGGTGGAAAGAGAAGGAAAGGGCGAAATGCTATTATCTTCCATGGCAGCGACGCACTCGAAGGAAGTAGGAAAAGGGAATGGTGTTTTGTTTGGTTCAGGGGGGGGTTGACATAGATCATCAAAGAATTAACATATGAAATTCACTGAAAATCATCTTGTTAGATAATGAAAGTATTATTACTTCAATGAACATCACAAACGTCTCACTAAAAGAGTCCCCAAATTATTCATCGAATGAAAGAGCTTATATCATCAAACACACTTAATTGGAGTAATGGCTCTCTGTTTAAATTTCATTGAGATTTTCCGGAATAAAGTAGGGATTATTTCACATAAAAGCACAAGATCAAAGTCTATATATCGAGAATGATTGTATTGAATTTACTATAGATTCTTTAGATTCGTCCCATTTAGCATAAGAGTTAATTTGGCTTTCGGCATAAATATTTATACCAAAGCATGAAAACTATATGAAGATAAAAGAAAATACACATCACGTCATGCAAGGTTGTCAAACCGGATTAAGTCATCCGGCCGATTTGACAAGGGGTCTGAGATTTAATGGTCGAATCGGGATTCAACCGGGTTAAGCCAGTTTTGACAAGATATGTTGACTTGATGTATTGCCTGATTCCATCTATCAACCTATAAAACAAGAATAATTAACAAAATATTATTAATTCCATCAACCTAATTAACCTGCTGCATTCCGTCCTAACTCCCAATTAACAAACACAATGCTTGCTTCTTTCTTTCTCCCCTACTCTCAGTTGACACCTAAATTTAATTTAGACTAAATTAAATGCTGCATGGAGGAGTCGTCATTTAATTCGATGTCGCATGATATAAGACAACGTCGTTTAGTACCAAGCAATATCGCGAAGAGTTAAAACGACACTGCGAAGCTGAAGGGAGCCCAACAATACCGCGATAGTTGAAACGACATTGTTTAATAGAAAGCAATGTCGTGAGGATTTGCAATGTCGGCGTTGGAGTTGAAGAAGGAGTGCTTTGTATTCCTTACCGGAGAAGGAGACGATCCGGCCAAGGTTGTATCTTAACTGCGACCTCGACAATGTTGCAATAGGAGAGAAACCACATCGTTTAGTGATAAACAATGCCTCAGAGACTTAATGACGTGGAGGAGATCGACGACATCATTGTAATCCCAACAACTCCGCGACATTGGTAATAGAGTCGTTTAATATTAAAACAATGTCGTGGATAGAATCAAGCAATGTTGTTTAGCTAAAAATGACACCGCATGAAGTATCAACAACGTCGCTGTATTGCTAAGCGATACAGTTTAGTTAAAAATAATATCGCAATGGGTAGGAGCTTGGCGGCCAAGTCCAACTTTAAAACAACATTGCGAATTCAAAGTCGGCCATAATACCAAGAGGCCGCATATTTTGGTTAAAACAGTGTCGCGTGATAAAAAACAAGAAACGACAGTGTTTAGGGAAAACAATGTCACTGTAGTAGAACTCGACATTGTTTCTTGGAGAACAATATTGTGAGACAAGCCCAACGGTCGGTATCACAAAGAACTGACAACGCTGCGAAGCTCGATAAATCAACAACGCCGCAATAGTAATATGCGAGATTGTTCAATCAAAAAACAATGCAAACAGTTGAGATCCAACAAAATACTTGAAATGACGTTGGTCCATAAAAAACAACGGAGCGGGACTGAGAGCTCAACGACATCGTGAAGCACAGCGGTGTTGCGAGTTCTACAGTCGTTGGTGCAATATCACAAAGCGACATTATTTTTTAGCTAAAAATAGTAAGTTTAACAGCTTCGCGAGTTAAAAACAATGTCACAAGAGTAAAAACAATGTCGTAGAGTAGGAAAGCTATGTCATTTTGTGCAAAACAACATCGCGAGTTTGGTGAAATTGATGACTGGGTGCGTAGTTGTGAATTCGACAGGGCCGTAGAATGATGTTGTTTAGTAGAGAACATCGTCGTAAGTGGTGAGCCACCGTAGGGAGTAGAAAGTGGCGTTGATATTGTGAGTTCAGTGGCGGCTCTCAAGGTTGGAAGCTCAACGTTGTGGTGTGGTTTTGCTACGCCGTTGTTTATGAACAAGGGTGTCGTTGTGTGGCTTTAGGAACAAGGGTGGAGTATCAAACCGTGGTGAATAGCTACAAGATTGGCTCAGCGTCGTTTTGGCTAAGTCTCTACAGAGAAGTTTAATACTCGTGGGAATTTTGCGCCAAGGTGGAGGTTACCAGCAAAGTTGAAGACTACAAGAAGCACGTGGGATTTTATGATGGAGCAGTTGAGGAAGCAGTTCCCCAAAAACTCTTAACGTAGATTCCCCCAAAAACTCAAACACCCTCGTTCGAACATTGTTTGGAGAGGGGTGTACCAGAGTAACGGTCGTTCTTGGTTAGAAGTCAGAGCTGCATCAATCAAATTAACACCGTCCGGTGGATATTTGACGATCGTCTTCATTTCAGAAGTCAGAGTTGCACCGATCAAATCAATACCACCTGGTGGATATTTGACGGTCGTTTTGATTTCAGCAATCAGTGGTGCATCCGATCAAAAGACACGACAAGAGTTTCCACCGCGAAACAATCAAATCAATATCGACCGTAAACAAGTTCGGCGCTGGCGGTGATATTTGGTTACGCGTCGAAACAATTTGGCACGCCTAGTGGGACACGTGTGTTTGATATGGCTCTGCAACGAGGAAAAGTAGATTGTCTTCCACAAGGATCCGTGGAGGAGAATTAGATGGTCAACATCGAGATTGACGATGTTGTAGGCGATTCAAGCAACAACGATGGAGCGGAGGTACAATCAGTGGTGCAAATCACCGATCAGGGTGAGATGTTGTGCATGCTCTGCCAAGTAGTGGTTGAACTTAGCAGAGATAGCCAAAAGGCAAATCTCATTTTAACTTCTCTTACCAAAAAATGGATAATCTTGAAAAAAACATAGATCGATGGTTTCATAAGTTGGATGACTATGTTTCTGATTTTAGTATGTCAATACATAGAGCCACGTATGATTTTGATGTGTTAAAATCTGAAACCATGTCTGTTGCTTGCGATGATTTAATGGTTGATCGACTAGCCATTGTCAACAAACGCCATCGATGAGTATGGCTACAACATTGTTGCCAGAAGCCTAGAAGCCCAACATGTCTTTTTCCTGTGAACAACGTTGTTCTTAAGGACACACAGGTTGGAATTGGCTTGAAGAAGCCACCACAAAGAAGTCACTATCGACTTAATTCTAGTAAGATTGAAAACAATAACAGGGTGGAGAACCTTGTCATAAGTACGTTGAGCATAGCAAGCTCGCATTGTCAAAGCAACATCACAATGATATTCACTCTAAACCTCTAGGGGGGCATGAGATTCCACCACATGGCTGGTTGAAGAAGAAATAACATCGCAAGTGGGAAAGAAGATTGCCACATCAATCTTGTTCTAGGAAAAATCAGACAAGGGTTGCCATGAATTCTCCTCAATATGGAGTGGCGACCACGTGGAAAAACCCAATGCCACAAAATCTTGAATGAATCAATTGAATCATTCATGT